CAAATACTCATGACCATTGATCAACAACCACCGATCAAAGACCGCTGATCAATGGCCATGAGCACCATTCACATAGAGTTGGGGAATGGCTGCAATCCCAGCATTGTAAGATGGCGAAAGATGTACTCTTAGGCCCCCTCCTCGATTCAGAAATGGTCTTTCCCTTTTCACGTAAATGTCTCCCATTACTGATGGAAATCTCACAGTCTAAGAAGGCTAACCTGCCACTTTTCATATCCTCCCTGGTGAATTTGATGTGTCAGTCCACCGAGTTAATGTGATCCGTGAAATGTAGTACGTACTGAGATTTAATTTTCACCCAGGAGTCATCCACATACCTGAACCAATGACTTGGTGGTGTAGGATAACAAAGCCCTCTTTTCCACTTCGTCCATGTACAAATTGGCCACGATGGGTGAAACTGGGGAGCCCATGGCACACCCATGTTTCGGCCTGCATAACTGACCATTGTATGTGAAGTAGGTGGAATGAAGACACAGTTCCAAAAGCAAACACACTCGGTCGATGCTGAGGTTGGGGTCATCCTGTAATCTCTAACAAACTACCTCCAACACTGACTGGGATGCAAGTGAAAAGAGATGTAACATCGTACGAGACCATGGTTTCATCTGCCATCATAGTGACATCTCTCACCTTCTCAACAAAATCCAAGGTGTTCTGGATGTGGTGTTCAGAGCTGCCTACCAGCGGGGTGAGGTTCGAAGCCAGAAACTTAGAGATGTTATAGGTGACGAGTTGATCATACAGACAATTGGTCTTAAAGGTGCACCCTGTTTATGTATCTTTGGTAAACCATACAGACTTGGTGTAGATTCCCCTGGGTACAGCCTGTGGTATAAGGTCCGGTCGATAGCCTTGTCTTGTTCTAACTGCTTCAGACAGTCTATCACCCTCTTCCTGTAACAACTTCCTGAGTCTCGTTTCAGGGGCTCATAAGTATTTTCGTCACTGAGCAATGATACAATTTTCTCATGATAGTCTTTCTGGTTTTGCAAAACTGTGCACCTACCGTTGTCTGCCGGAAGGATGGTAATGTTGTTGTCATTACTAAGTAATGTGAGTGCCTTCCTCTCCTCATTGGTGATGTTGGCTGCTGGGGCCTTTGCATTCCTGAGAGAGGCCGAAACCTTCGTCTGTAATTGCTCTGCTTCCACTTCTGCAATATTGTTGTTTCGACATTGCAGTCAGTTAGACTGAAGAAGTCAAAGATGAGAGACGAAATGTTTCTCCCACTGAAAACGCTAGGTGCAGGTGAATAGAAGCAACTTTTGGAGATAGGTTTAGTCTATTAGAGATTGATTACTAATATGTTACCTCATATAGTAAACTGTTCTTGTGTGTGTTTTATAACTTGTAAAACACAGCAACAGCTACCAGAGGAAGACATAATTCATGAAGCTATATTTTACTTCTGATAATTCAAACCTTTAACTCTTATAATGAATTTAAATATTGATATTTTTCAACAACACTGACACCTTGCAGTAAATCACCTGAAGTAACCCTAACACACTACGATTGCAGATTTATATATAGGAATACTTTTTTTCTTAAAGCTCAACAGAAGTGTAAAGTGCTCAGTTTCTATTTCTGTTTCCCCCTAGAGCTTATTTGCTGAATGTGATGTGGAACTCACGTACAGTTCTGTTGTTAAGAAACAGCGTATTAAATGGGTAAATATTAAAAGACCTGAAGCCAACCACACACTAGATGTCACTTCCCTTTGTCTCTTAATTTCTTCAATTATTTTGCTTGTTGTCCTAGTGTTTCATGATTTCTTTTTAAATTTCGTCACATTTTTCTTAGCTTTTTTTCCCTAATTGTCCCATTTGTTTCTGTTCTCAAACAGGATGAAGGAAAAGATACAGAAGTTTCAGAGCATTAGAGCATATCAGCTAACAAACGTTGAAATGTTCAAACATTAAAATCTTTTTGCAGTTTTTACAGATAAATGCTGCAATGTGTCAGGTTGTGATGTAGTAGCTTTTTTTTCTTCTCCTTTTAACTGCTTTGTAACAAATTTTATTCCTGCATAGCTGCAAATTTATTCAAAGAAGCATTGGCCAGTTTGCTTGTTCTTTTTCAAGATCATTGATGTGATTTTTAGTTTTGTAATAAAAAAGGGATTGTAATCATCAGCATCACCATTTCTATTTGTCTGTTAGATATATTATGTATCATTATGTTTATGAATATATTGTTTGTGGTTTGTATCTATCAATCGATAGATACCTGTGCACTGCCTGGATTGACTACAAGAAGGCCTATGACTCGATGCCCCACATCTGGATCCTGGAATGCCTAGAAATATACAAGAACAATAGGACTCTAAGAGCCTTCATCAGGAACTCAATTCACTATCAAGTGCGGATCTACCAAGGAGATGCTCTGTCCCCACTTCTGTTCTGCATAGGCCCGAACCCCCTCAGTGAGATCATCACTGGCTATGGATACCGACTACGGAGTGGAGCAGTTGTTATAAGTCCCGAAGAGTCAGCCGAACAGGCTATTAACACCTACGCTCTGCCCCTGATCAGGTACCCTGCTGGGATAATAAGCTGGCCAATAGAGGAGATGGAAGCCACTGACATAGGGTGGCTGTAGCTCAGGTGGCAGAGCAGGTCATCGAACCACCAGCAGGTCAGGTGGTTCGATCCCAGGCTGCCTCCTGGCTGCATGCCAAATATCCTTGGGCAAGATACTAACCCCATGTTTGCCTACTGGTGGTGGTCAGAGGGCCCGGTGGCGCCTGTGTCCGGCAGCCTTGCCTCTGTCAGTGCGCCCCAGGGCAGCTGTGGCTACAATGTAGCTTGCCATCGCCAGTGTGTGAATGCGTGTGTGAATGGGTGTAAAGCGCTTTGGGGTCCTTAAGGACTAGAAAAGCACTATACAAATGCAGGCCATTTACCATTTACATTAAGACCAGGAAGCTCCTGACCATGCATAGAGGGTTTCACCCCAATTCCAGCACCCTGAGGCTGTATGGCTAAGTGGAAGGAAGAAGGCCAGGGAATGGTGAGTGTCAGTACCACAGTCCAGCATAAGACAACAAACATCCATGAATACATAAGGAATTGCATGCTCAGTGCATACTACATCACAACCTGACACATTGCAGCATTTATCTGACAATACTTCAGTAATATAGGTACAGATAAAAAAGTAAAAACCCAAGAAAGAGGAGGAAGCTTCATGGAAGGACAGGCCCCTGCATGGTACGTACCACTGGCAGATCAAGAAAGTGGTTGACATCCAGAAATCCTACCAGTGGCTAGACAAAGCTGGACTGAAAGACAGAACAGAGGCACTAATCATGGCAGCATAGGAGCATGCTCTGAGCAAGAGATTCATAAAGGGTGAGGTCTTTCACACCAGGCAAGACCCCAGGTGCGAGCTGTGTAAAGATGGCCCTCAGACAATTCAGCACATAACAGCAGGGTGCAAGATGTACGTGTATAAAGTTCTTGTATGATGGATATTGTTGGTAATTTGCTGCTGTCTAATCAGAAATATAGTGCATTTATTATATGTATGT